CAGATACAAACTAAGTCTCTTTATATTTATTAAGGACCCACCATATGTCCAATGGTGTTCTGTGTCTAGGTTAGGGTTTCCACCTAACAAATCTTTGAAATCTATAAAGAGAGAAAGACACAAGCACACAAATGATTCTTTATCCCAAGAGATATGTCATGACCTAAGTCTGCATATCGTTCAGAAAAACAAAAACAGAGAAAACCTAACCTGAGGGTGTTCACAGAGAACTGCTATGTTATGGGCCACTATGAATAAAAAAATAATGAATAAATAAATAACGTCACAGCTAGTAAAAGTGTGTGACCAAAGCCAATAATCAGAGGCAGCCTGGGTCTGTGAATGGCAACCTCATTGCTCTAGTACAGTAGCAAAGAAAACCTCTGCCTTCTTTCCCCTTATTCTCAGTTCTTGTGGTAAGCTTTCCTCTCTATACCACTGAAACCCTCCACACTAGTACTTAGGATGCTACTTAACAGCCATCTAGCATTCTGACCTGCATATTTGCCTCGTTTTACTGAACTAGTGTCTCCTCCCTGAGTGTTGCAGTGATACCCAGTAATCGTTGACTCTAAGTCAATAAGTAACATGCATTGGTTCCCAGCCCACATACCAGAAAAAAAAAAAAAAAAACAGTATTCTAATAAATAAAGCTGAATTAAAACTGATGAATAAGCGTGTTCAATCATTGTGTTTTATGACTGGAAAGGACCCACACCTGTGCTGACATGACAAGCCTGCATCAGCTTGGGTGGGTACAAGAAACAGCCAATAGCAGCTTGCATTCGAGAAAGCCAGTTATCATGCTATGCCGTTTCCCTGTGTATTTGAAGAGGGGATAATAATATAGAGGTTCAATCCTAAGGGACTGAAGCATGCGTGTTAATATCCCAAAATCATTAATGGAGACTTTATTTTTCTTCTTTTAAAAATTATTACCTGTTATGTAGTTGCACCCTCCACAAAACTACAATGAGCTAGTGATTCAAAAAGACTCAAATTCAATTCACAAATTCAGACTTGGGAAGATTAGGCTCAAAGAACACGTGTGTGCCTCTGAGTAGCCTAGCTCTAATAGGTACATTCACCCACATTGTACTGTTTACAGCAAAGTATTAACATCCATATACGTATGCAAAGAAAGTGAGGTTCCGACAAGGTGCATCTGAGGGCAAGTCCATGCTATACCAGAACGTCGCAGAGATAAAATCTGTGCTTGCATCTTGATGTCGTCTAAATACCATTGTTTCTAATGCCCTGTGGCTGGTGTGTCTCCGGTGAAACAGTGGACCATTCATACATTTCTTAAGTAACAGGCCTCTCTAACTAGTGCTGATTTAACTGTGGATAGAAGACGGTCTGAAACAAAACCCTAAACTTCTAGTTGAGAGGTGTGTGAGTGAACCAGAGTAGAGGAACCTGTTGTCACTCTTGGCTTTGTTTCGTTGGGAGAAATTTACGATATATACCTTTCCAGAATTAGAAGCATAGTCACCCTGGTTAGTTAGAGCAGAAGAGCTGAAGGCGCATGTCCCCATGCTCCCAGCATCCTAGTTATATGCTGCTAGTATCGCTGAGAGTGAAACCAGACAGGAGAAAGAACATCACGAAGAGATGTCAGACAACACAGAGGCTCAGAAACAAAGCTAAAAACTTCTTATTAAAGAATCCCTGGATGGACTAGGCTGAAAGTGTGCCCTCCCCTAATGGCAGCTGCTTCATCTAGAATCTTATTTAGAATAAATTCTTTTAAATGCAAAGATGCCTAGAGAGCAAATGTTGTGTAATACAGTACAAAATACCCTCTTCCAATTGGCCATCAGCGTATCGGAGGCAAACTCTATAGGACACAAGGGGACCAGGATATTAGAGACCAGCTCTGTGGGCACAGGCCTATTCCTGCATGCCTCTACCATCTGTCAGTTAGAAAGAGTAACAGTCCAGAGAGCATAGGACAGGAACTGTCTGGGATAAGGACCCTTGGGCGTGACTCATCCTGTGACTTATTTGTTGAGGCTTCTCATTGTAATGACATGAATTAGTCATGAGGCACAGATAAGATAAATACTTAAGTAACTCTTCTTTAAAATGCAAAACCTGTGTTTGAATGCATGAATATGTAAACGTGGCCCAAATAATTCGATGCTGCTCTGTACAAAGCATAGATATTCCTAATTAAGAAATACTGTCTTCGTAGGCGACTGCCACAGGAACCTGGATAAGGACTCCAGTGATCTAGATTTTGAAGAAGTGCTGCTTGAAATAAGGCTGCTTGACAACAAATAAATAAATAATTTAAATAAATAAATAAATGTAATAACACTATGTATAGTTGTTATATACTAGTGAAACCCTTATGCTTTAGGGATTATAGACAACTGTACAGCCACCTAACAGATATCAAACTGCCTGACAAGCTCAACTTGTGCATGGCAAGCAGGGTGTCTGATGAGAACGCCATCATTCCTAAAGGTTTCTGTCCTGTTAGCTCACCCCTGACAACAGTGATTGCTACCCTCTTCGTCCTCACCAACTCCAGACGAAACTCCAGATGGCTAATGTGACTTGGCAAAGACCATACTGACAATCATACCACCATCCTAGCTTTCTGGCTCTTACCCAGAATTCTGAAACCTAACTGCTTGTGATTCAACCATCTTCCACCTCCTGGGCTTCTGTATTGCTCTCCGATCAAGAAGATTTTATCAGCCTATATGACCAAATTACTTTCTTCCTGCCTGAAACATGCTTTAAGCAGTGGACCCTAATGCTTTTTTTGTTAGATGATTTGCTTGAAAGGAGGTCCTTGATTGTGGATGTGTTGTGTTTATGCTGAATGTACAAGTGGGTCCAGAGCTTTTGGGGAAGGGGCAGTGAGGCAAGGGGACAAGAGGAAGACTGCACCCAAACTAAATATTGTTTCCATAGTTCTTACATGACTTTAGAAGGGAAGTGATGTTCCTTTGGTGGTCTCTGAAACCTTTTCTCTCCTCAGACAAGTGGACCCAGGATTCAATAACCAATCAAGTAACTGTTGATCCTGGGAATTGTCAATGCCATCCTCCACTTCCCACTCTAGGTTCCCATGTCTTCAAGCAAGAGGCCACTGTCATGGTAGATGGCAGAACATTACTGAGGATGAGGAACTCTCTGTCTTCTGAACTTTACTCACCTGCAGCATCCATCTCCAGGATTGTAAATGCAAATGAGATGAAGGGTTATGACACAATTGACAAGCAGGACATGGAGAAAAGATCAAGTTTTAAGCTGGTTTCAGTCATGGTTGAAATATGAGCTATGACAGAGTAGCTTCTCAAACCATGAAAGGAGAACTCTGAAGGGAGATTAAATTTTAGACAGTTTAGGGACTTCCTGATTGAAAAGCCAGAAAAAGCAAAAGGCATACTCCATCAAGTGAAGCAGAAATTAGAAACACCTCAGTCCCGTAAACTTTAAGACTATCACTTGGGTTAATCTGCATGTTCTCCAAGCTTTCCTCACAGAGGGAAGAGGTTACAAAATCACGCTATTGGCTATACAAATGAGAGGGGAAAGGGAAGGAGCAGATGCAAGATGATGCTAGAATGCGTGATAAATGTAGGCTACCCATAAACTCCATTCACCTGGATGAAAACCGATAGTCAATGCAGGACCATCGATAACAGTGGTCCTCAACCTTCCTACTGCTGCGGCCTTTTAATACAGCTCCTCATGTTGTGATGACCCCCGACCATAGAATTATTCCTGTCGCTACTTTATATCTGCCATTTTGTTACTATTATGAATCATAACATAAACATCTGATATGCAATCCCTGTGAAAAAGTCACTTGGCCTCCGAAGGGGTTGCACACCACAGATTGAGCACCACTGCTCTATGACAGAAAGGCAGAGGTACTTTCTCGAGCGTCAGACTTGCTCAAGTGGCAAAGGACTCACCAGGCTCTAACACTACTTTTCAGTAAAATAATGCTATTGGGAAGGATTTCCATACACAGGAAAAATATGCATGCCACTATAGTTGGCATCCTTTGGTTAAAACCAGCTCTGCTTGTTTCTTCCTGTATACACAACTATTATTCATGTTATTCTTCAGTATACTATAAACTGAGTACTGAGATAAACATCCTACTTTTTTTTACAGGGCCTCACATACACGACCAGTCTTTACAGTGGGCTATGCCTTCAGCTATTCTTTTCCTTTGAGTCCAGGTCTCACTAACTTGCTCAGAGTGGCCTCATGCTCCCTCTGTAGCTCAGGAAAGGGATTGAACTGCAACTCCTGCTTGAGCCTCATGAGCAGCTGTGATTACAGGCTCATGCCACCACTCCCCCGTCTTTTCATTTAATTTTTTAATCGAGGGGTGGGCAGGGATGGATGCACAAGCATTAGGAAAGTTGTGGCTAGAACACATGGAAAGTTGGCTTCCCCAACATTTGAAATCAGAATCCCTTTGCATGAACTCTGAGTCCTGACTTTTTGATGGGGGGGGGAAGCATTGAAAATTAAGATATTACATATATCACAATGTGTATATGATCAGCAAGTTATTATCCATGCTATAGACTCTATATGCATAAACATATTGGCCTTAGGAAATGATATTTATTGCCTTAAATTGTTGCATCTCCTTTTGTTAATCATTTCTTAACACATTTTTATCTGTTGCAAAACGTCCTGGAAACTGTTTGTATCCTAGGGTTATGGTACTTCTTGTCACTTTTCACTCTCCTGAAACTGAATACAAAGCATCGCCTAGTAGTGTGCAGCAGTGAGGAACAAACAGGCTGAAATCACTGCGGCCTTGGCCAAAATCTGTATATTTGGTTGCCTGACTCAAATCAATGCTTTTACATTGAGTATCATCTATACTCTGGATAAGAGCTAAATATTTGAGGATGATTGTTCAACGTTGGATAAATGATATACGGACTTGGAAAAGAGAAAAAATCTGGGACGTGGTGAAGACCACCCTGGGGCTGAGGGCGAGACTCTCTTACCGTCCAGGTGGCTGACTTGGCGGTGCTTGACTGCTGGAAGGACACATCGAAGCTGTGTGGGCCTGGGTAATCTGTGTTGGAGGGAATGGCGGGGGACGGAGAGAGGGCGTCGAAGGTAGAGCTGGGCTGCGCATAGGGCGAGGGCGCCGTCACGCTGTTCTGTGCGTGGTCTGTGTTGTAGGGGCTGGTGGACGAGGAGCCGTTCTGAATCTGCTGGTCCATGCTGTTCAGGAGCCCCAGGTTTGTGTACTGTGGCTACAAAGACACCCAGATACCCCGATGTTAGTCATGTAATCCATTATTCATTGCTTAATAAAAATAATTTAATTAACTAATTAAGTAATAAAAGACATTATTTGGTGTGCTTTGTGCAAAATTGGTCATGATGTCCCAAATACTTCATGTGCCAAGTAAAGCCTGTTATCTGTGGTACAAGGCAACACGCGTTGCAGCTATGTGAGTATTGGAAAACAGAATAGATGGTTACTCAAAACAGGCACAGGGTGCCCAGGGCAAGGTACTGCTGAGAGATTATTTTAAATACATGTTTCCTGTATTATTGCTTACACACACACACACACACACACACACACACACACACACACACACACA